GAATTTAAGAGCAATGTCCTATAATACCCGTGAAAGGCAGTACACGTTGGATTAGTATTTCGCGCACCATGCTGTCTAATCTGTCCGAAAAAGTTTTCTAAGGCATCTTGGTTAAAATTCCGACCAATAAAGTGGGAAAATCCAAGATTGCCTAGAAGTGTTGTTAAAAATTTAAAATTTTGTAGCGTTCTAATCCAATTGTGTACTACCAGTGGACGCTCTTTATCCGCAAACTTTCTTTTGATAAATGTCATGCTTCGAAATACATTAATTCCTACATCCCAGATATTGGGTCTTTCGCAGTTGATATCTACTACCGGAAGAGGACGACTACTGTTGACACTGTCGAAAATATCATTCATAAAATGAATGAATCGAGCAGTGTCAACACCTTCTAAAGGCATCTAAAAACCTGCGCGCAATACTTAACCTTCATTTTCCTAATTTTATCAGCTACTACATGCTTTGCAGTAAGCTTCTTCAGAACTCGGTCCTGAGAAGAAGCATTACTGCTATCAATAAAATATAAATCTTCCACGTGTGACCATTTAGCCACACGTGGAACATTATCCGCTAAATGGAATTGCAAATCTTTAGTCAAAAGATTGTTCCGCATGCACTTCAATAGGTGCGGAGGGTCGAAGAGCGGCACGATTTCATTTTTATCAATAACAATTATATCATGCCGTAATGAATTCGACTGCTGAAAGGCATTTCTTTTCGAATAATCTATTAGGCATTGTATTGCCTTACAATTCGTGCTGCCTTGGTCACAAACTGAGGCTACAACTACAATGCCGGCCTGACATGCACGGCGAACTAATTCTTTAAACATTCTAACGATGCTCTCCGCGGAAGAAGTACCCCTACAAAAAGTATATGCCACAGGTTGCTTCCAAGGTCGCACACCGTCTATGCCTTTCAACATCCACACCATGGCATGATCCGCGATATCTAAAGAACGCGAAAAACCGGAGTCTACAAATCCTTCAACTATGTCCATTGAAGGATTGTAGACCAGTGACGGCGATAATTTAATTTCGTCGAAAAGCAGAATAGCGTATCTGCTTTTCTCGTCTGGAAAGGACTCGGACCGCTCTTCGAGTTCATGGAATACGTTGTCGCAAATTCCAGCTCTTAGTGGAATGTGCGACAATAATTTCCGAAGCGTTTCGATACTTGGCAAAAGAAATAATTTTGACAAATATCGAAACGCTTTTGGACTTTGCTTATAAATACTTAGAGCTAGTACCTTTTCCTCTTCCGTCAAGCGTCGTCCGTAGATGGGTTTTCCCTCGTTGCGCATATGGGCGGAAATCATCGCGTGCAGGGGTGTAGGCAAGTTTTCCAAAACTTGGCATACACCTACCTGCACGAGACGCTCTATCTTCTTGATGCGGTCCTTCGTTGCCATCTGCCGCCGCTTGCATTGCCGCGCTGCCTTCAGTACCGATGCCACGGCGCTGTAGACTCGTTGCTGCAGGGGCTTCTCCACGATGTTGTCCCTGAGCATCTTCAGTATATTACCTGCAGAAGGAAACATACAATATAATTACTCTGTAAAGGATGTATAAAGTCATATAAAGTAGTATATAGTTTACATGTGTATTACTGCCATGTATACCGTATACACAGTGTAATTTACACATGCAAACGCATAATATCGACTGAAGGTATGTACAAACTAGGGTGGCGCACTGAGCTCGACCTAAAATGGAGGATGTATAACTCTGAGAGTACCTCCAGTTACGAGGAAGTGTATCCGATTTGGAGTACATCAATCTGGCGTATATTATTTCCTTGTAGTTGCAAGGAAAAAATACGTTAAATAATGTAGGTAAGAAATACATACAGTAAAAATTTCAGTTGTATATGTTAGCACCATTGTATGAAAATCAAACATTGTGTAGTATGTCTGGCGTTTTTGAGCAAAGTATAAAATATCCCAATTATTGTAATATTATATCAACTTTGGATTGATATTGCCTAGGCATTCTGTACAGTATTTTCTTTTTATGCATGGCCAGTAACATGTACAAATGATAAAAAAGAAATGAGTAGAATGTCAACAGTTTCCTTTCAGTAAGAAAAAAAATTATTGTATACATTTCTCTCATTTTATGATATGGATTTGACAAGGAATGTTTAACGGAATTAATTGAATTGCACCGGTTTTAATTAGTAACCAACTTTTTTTTTATTTATTCAATATTCTTTGCAGTGTTATCCTGCACTTATCATTACTTAACCTAATATATGAATACTTATTTCGTACCTTTCTGTCCTTTCTGGACTTGTGATCGCTGATGCTCTCTTCCAATCTGTAATTGTAAAGAAGACTTAATAAAAGTTCCCTTTCAGTGACTCATGCATATTTCATACTAATATCCAGTAATGTATAAACTCATACCTGCATTATGCAATGGCTTGTCTTCTTCTATACTTAGTCTGTGCAAGTCGTTCCATGCCATCTCTACAAACAACCAAACAATATTTGTTAAACATACCAGTCTATAACTAAGAAAGATAGTACAATCAAAAGTAATATTTTTTTATGGTAACAGACTAACCTCCGGATGGTCCAGAAAGTGCTGTGAAGTTCTCGTGTCCCACGAGGCCACTCTTACTGTCTATCCCCCCAGTGCAGTCAGGTTTGCCTGTAAGAACAAAATTAAGTAACATTATAGATACATTTCATGCTAGAAGTATTATTATGTATTTTCAGTATACAGGTATAACAGAAAACTTACATTCTTCTTCTTCTTCTGGTATTTCCATCCGGGTGTCTTGCTGCTCTATTTTAATAGAGGCAGCCTCTGACACTGTGCAATAAATATTTTCATTATCAATTATCTGCAAACGCAACACAAATTATGTAAGAGTATTACCTGGTAAGTTCAGTGTTGGAACTGCTGACGTTATCAGCTTCTTCATCATGATATATCTTTGTTCGAAGTGGCTGCTGCAGATCACCCGTGATTTCAGCTGTTCGGGTGAAAGCAGTGACAAATTAGGGTTGTCACATGCTTCCACCCACTGCACCGTCCTCTTCATGTCCACAGAGGGAAAGTTGAATGTCTTCAGAACTTCACTTCTGCATCCTCGGACACTGCATTTTTTCTTCTTCCTTCTTTAAAGATACATTTTAATAATTACAATCTTATCTTAGAAACTGCTTAAATTAAAGCAAACAATACATTATTATAACACCAATGTAAACAGTTATTGTTTTCAACAACAATTTTAAAAAATTTTGTACTTACTTAATTTCGATCTTCTTGTGCTGTTGCTGCATCTCATTGTCAGCAGAAATACTGAAAAAATCTGAAATAAACTAGAAGAAACCTGAAAAAAAACCTCAAAATCTCTTCTCAATTAATAATAATAGTAATAATAATAACAATAATAATAACAATGAAAGTAACAATAATAATAACAATAATAATAGTATGAATAACAGTAATAATCTTCATACAACAGTAGTATTGCTCAGTATCACTGTCCACGCTGTCGCGTTAGTGACCGTTATCGTGGTTAATTGGCGCCATATTTTTTAAGTCTCTTTAAATTTTGAAACAATTGAAAAGCGCGGCGTTAAATTTCGCGGGAACATGACGTCACGATATCTTTAGTTGTGTATGTTAAAATCAGTGATATAAGGTATGCATGTAGAGAAGCGACATCAGCGCCGCCTGGATTTTCTGCGCCGAGTTAAAATTTGCATCAACTTCACAAGAGTGGAGCTTGGAGGGCCTGCGGAAGTCTATTGCGTCGTTTCTTAAACCTTCGCATGCTTATCTCTAGGCCCTGTAGGTGGCGCCACCGTTGTGTCGCTTGTAGGGACCTACTTGTAGCGCGCAGGCACGCGATCATGATTACCAACCAAAAAGAAAAAGAGACTTGTAAAAAAGAAAGGCGTATCAGACCAAGCCTTAGAGTCGCGATAAAAGTATCAGTTAAGACAAAGAAATAAACAGTGTGTTACAAAAGAGAGTTTCGATATTTTACGAAGCAACGAAAACCTTTTCCCGTCCGTTCAACCAGGTGGTAAAAGAAACCACAGGCGTAGGCGTACGCTACACGCTTGTGGCGGCCGTTGCCGATAAGGAAGATTGAAGATTATTCTCATCGCCACCTTTTTATAACTACATTTATTGTTCATTTGTCATTTTAAACAAATTAGAATAACTTTTGTAACTATTCATTCTTCGCCAAATTCTCCAAGCCTAAAGACGTGTCAACCTTTATATCAATATTTCCAAATATATATTTTCACAATTGAAGCGTTGACCATTCATTTTAAATACGGAATAAGTTCTCCACACGCTTCTGGGGACTTCAGTTCGTCGATAAGGAAGAGAGGAGCGATAATTAAACTATTCCCACTGTGTTCGAAATCGAGATTGAAAATGTCCACGATGTTACTCGAGACGACCGGTTCGGTAATGGGATTGGCGGTGAGACGGGCGAGTGAATCGTACACTGAAAATTGCACAAGACAACGTATATTCACAAAGAAACAAAGAATATATTCAATATTTACAGTGTGTGCATGAGAATATTTACAGTGATCGTTGATCGTATTAATAGCTTCAATTGCGTCGCGTTGAATCACTATCGAGATCGAGATGTGTGAACCACGTGTTGGTTCAACACGTGGCACCGCGTAATTTTATTAATCACGCGGTTTTTGGCGAGCTGATGAGCTCACACGATCGCAAAAGCCATTGGCACTTTTACACGCGTTGCGAGAAGTGTATTTTTGCGAGATTGAGCGGAATTTATTAGAACTATACGAAAACTGAAATTGCACGTGTGAAGGCTACGTAAACCAGAGCGATAATGGCCGATCAACCCGGCTTCGCTGCAGCAAGAACCGTTGGCTTCTTCTTGCTGACGTAACGCTCCCTGATTGGTCGGCCTGACCGGCATCCAAGGTGGCTGCCGGTCGCGCTGCAGAGTGCTGCCGCGGTTCGCGTGAAGGCGGTAGAAATTACATTTTAGAACATTCCGCCCGCCATCAGCAGCTCGTAGAAGATGGTGATGAGTCCTGATCTGCTACTGGTAGTAGAGCCAACTTTGCAATTGGCCGAGTTAGAGTTGTGGTGGCCGTCTTGATCGTGACGACCCTTGTCAGTCCGTCTGGTCCAGGGTGAACTGCGAACACTCGAGCAAGAGGCCACTTGCATGGTGGGAAGCGCTCGTCTGTAAGCAGCAGCAGAGATCCAACGTTGATGTTGTTGGAAGGGTGATGCCACTTCGAGATTGACTGCATTCGTTGAAGGTGTTGAGCTGACCAGCGCTTCCAAAATTGTTGTAGTTTTTGTTGTATAAGATGCCACCTGACTCTCGGTGAGAGTTTGGTCTGTTCAATAGATGGCTCAGGCAATGTTGAGACCGCTCTTCCGATGAGGAAGTGCGCCGGTGTGAGCACTGATAGGTCATCGGGGTCGTCCGTGAGAGGCTCCAGTGGTCGAGAGTTGAGCGTCGCTTCAATCTGGTTTAGAAGAGTGTAGTATTGTTCAAAGGTGAGCAAAGTATCACTCACCGTGCGTCTGAGATGGTATTTGACAGACTTGACCTCTGCCTCCCACTTTCCTCCCATGTGCGGTGCAACAGGTGGATTGAAATTCCAAGTTGTTTGGTCGTTGACGAACAGCTTGGCCAATCGTTGATTGTCTTGAGTGCCCTCGATGAACATTGACTTCAGTGCTGAATCTGCTCCGATGAAGTTCGTTCCGCAGTCGGAGTAGATGGTGTTTGGAATGCCTCTTCTTGCTGCGAACCGTCGGTACGTGGCAATGAATCCATCCGTTGAATAGTCGGTGACCAATTCCAGATGAACAGCAGACGTTGTCATGCAAACGAAAACACAGATCCATCCTTTCTGTGTCTTCGCTCCTCGTCCCTTCCACGTCTTGAGTGTGATAGGACCGACGTAGTCTATGCCGGTGTGTGAAAATGGATGTGAGGGTGTAACCCGAGAGAGAGGTAGTTGGCCCATCAATTGATGGGCACGGATCCCCCTTTGCCGAGCACACACAACACACCGCAGGATGTGAAATTTAACTGGAGCTCGTCCACCGATGATCCAGTAGGTCTGCCTGATGTGAGCGAATGTAAGTTGTGTCCCTCCGCTTTGTGGGAGTGATCTACAATCAATTCGGACAGACGTGAGTGACGTGGAAGGATTGCAGGGTGCTTACCTTCGTAGGTTAACTGAGCGTTGCTGAGTCTTCCTCCAACTTGAATGACCCCTTGATCGTCGATAAAGGCCGTGAGTCGATTGAAGGCGTGAGACGATAGCAGCGTTTGATTGTTGACCATCATCTTGAGTTCGTGTTGGAAGTATGCTGATTGTGTGGCCTTGATCCAAAAGATTTTGGCCTTTTCCAAATCAGCTGACGTGTTTGAGAGCCTCGTTGAAGCAGTTGTCTTTCTCAGTTTGGAGATAAACTTGTAATAAACTGAGGTAACATGAAAAAGTTTTTGTAATGAAGAATATTTGTGAATGACGTCCCAGTGATATTCGATTTTTTGGCTCGTCAATACGTGCGAGATTCCTGGACGACAATTCTGCAGGCAAGTGTCGTCAGATGCGTTGCGTTGTACAGGCCATGATTCACGAGATTGTAAAAGACATGGTGGTCCCCTCCACCATAGCTCGTGTTGTTCAAGCTATGCAGTAGTTAATCCTCTTGATGCGCAATCAGTAGGGTTTGATGTACCAGGAACGTGCATCCAAGTTGCAGTTTGCGTCAATTCTTGAATTTGTGTTACACGATTCCTGACGTAGTCTTTCCACCGTGATGCGTGAGATTTGTTCCATGTAAGTGTCACTTGAGAATCCGTCCACAGGTGTGTTGTAGCAATTTCGAGCTTGAGATTTGCTTGAACGTACTTCAGTAATTTTGCCAGCATTAGAGCAGCCGTGAGCTTGAGTCGGGGAATTGTAAGTTTTTTGAGAGGTGCGACCTTCGTTTTGGAGCACACCAGTGACGTCACCTTGAAATCTGTGGACGGCTAGAAAACAGTAATGTAAATTACTGCTGCCATGGCGAGTTGTGATGCGTCAGAGAAGCCGTGTAGTTCCACTGTAGAATTGTTGTAGTTGTTGAACCACCTTGGAGTTGAGAGCTTGGCCAAGCTTGTAAGATCTTCTCTGATCGCGATCCATCGTGTTGTGATATGGGATGGCAGTGGATCATCCCATTTGAGATTGGGAAGCCATAATTCTTGCAGGAGTACCTTCGGTCGAATAATGACTGGTGACAAAAAGTCAAGCGGATCAAATATCTGTGCTACTTCAGATAATACAAGGCGTTTTGTGAAATTGAGATTGTGGTGAGATTTTGAAGTAAATGTGAAACTATCGTTGACAGTATTCCATCGCAATCCGAGTATTTTGGTATTGCAGTCGTCTAGAGAGATTGATGTGCTTTGAGAATTATTACAAGGCACGATGGTCTCAAGCAGATAGGCTTCGTTTGAATGCCACTTTGCAAGAGGGAAACCGTCCGCGTTGCACAAGTCAGTTAATTGTGAAGCAATTTCAATTAACGAATCAAGAGAATCTGCACCACCAAATATGTCGTCGACATACCTTGCATATTTGATTGATGATACTGCCAGTGGGTAACGTTAACCCTTGTCCTCTGCAAGTTGCAACAGGGCTCTGACAGCAAGAAATGGTGCAGCTTTGGTACCGTAGGTGACCGTTGTTAGTGTGTATGGGACTTCGTTAGATTCCTCATCAATCCACAGTATCCGTTGGAGATTCCAGTCGTCTTCATGTACTCGTACTTGACTGTACATCTTTGTGATGTCCGTGGGGAAGATGCATTTGTGATGACGAATCCACAGCAAATCGTCGGTGATGTTGAGCAGGAGATTTGCACCAGTGTGCATGATGTCGTTGACAGAAAGTCCAGTTGTTGTTGGACTTGAGCCACTGAAGACAATCCGCAGCTTTGTTGTTTCGCTGTCAGGCTTGAAAACTCCGTGTTGCGTGAACGCGAGTAAAAAGGGTCCCCTCGTCACGCGGGGCCCGTCCGGGAGGTGCTGCCGCCCCGCGTTCTTTTTCGGGAACTACTTTTCGGCAAGGCGCGACGCGTGCCGCGTAGCCATATTGCGTTTTGTAAACGGCAACGTGAACATCTCGCTGCGCTTCATTACGAATTTTTCGAGTATTCTCAGTGTTCAAATAGTTCAAGTACGGTAATCCTCGACCTCTCGCGTCTCCTCTCACCCTTGAGAGTCGTAAGTGACCTCGAAAACCTCTCCACGGGGGATTTACGAGAGAAAATCGGGCTCTTCGGTTTCCTTAACCTCCACGTGTCGCCGCGAGGTTTGAGCGTGTACGACGACCTCGCGTTCGGGACGTGCACGAGTACTATTCCGGTCTCCGAACCTCGTCGGTCTCCTCAGCGGAACACTGCGATTTTTGTGATCGGGCTTTGCTTATTGTGTACCTCGAGTGACGTGCTGAGAAAACCCTTGTACTATTTCCCGCGCGACACGTCTCGCAAGGTGTAACGGCCGTCCTCCTTGTTGTTTTCGGACCATTTACCGTTTTTAATAAACTGACTACGACTAAAGGACTACCTCGGGCATTGTTTCTTTGATGTATTTTTGTGTGTGTCCGGACCCCCCCCCCCCCCCCCCCCCCCCCCCCCGGTTTCCTCGCCCACCTCTAAACACTCCGTGATGAGGGAGATAGTAGATTGACGTGTCGTTGGGCGATATTGAAGAAGCTCTTTTCATGTGATCGAGGTCCTCGTACTCCTTCATGAACCGTTGGTATTGTTCACGGTACTCAGGATTCCTGCTGAGCTTGTTAAGCGTGCGTCGCAGACAGGAACGAGCAGTGCTGTAAGAAGTGCCCAAGACTATAGTATCTGATTTAAGAGGAATACGCACCACGTATCGCCCAGTAAAATCACGTCCATGCGTTGCAAGAAAGTGATTTTCATACTCTTGTTCTTCAGGTGTGAGTTGAGATGTTGTTTCCGTTGGAAGCTCCTCTTGAACCCAGAACTTCGTCAACAATTCTCTCAAAGCAGCGTCGCTGTCTTGAGAGATTGATGCGTTGAATGAGGAGTAAGCATGATCTTGAAGTGTGCTTGCTGGTCCAATAACGAGCCATCCGAAGATTGAAAGCTGGGCGACTGGCATTGATGGCAAACCTTTAACTAGATTTGGTTTTATTACTCGTCCATAATTGTCGGCACCGATGATTATGTCGATCGATCTTGGTTTGTAAAACTCAGGATCTGCCAACTTGAGACGGTTGAGATGTGGCCAATCTTGCTGGGGTGCCTCAGAAGATGGCAAAGTTGCAGTTAAAGTTCGTAAAATATGCAGTTGCGTTGAGATTGATGAGGTATTGTAAAGAGATTGTAAATTGAGTAATACAATACCTCGAGTTTGTGTTGATTTCTTGCCACCAATGCCAATAACGTGTGTGATTACCCTCTACAGCTTGCTTCTTACTTTGCGATCATATAAATGGCGGACAGAAATATATGACGTACGATAGGTGATAACCGATGATGATATGGTACAGATACACGATACAATGAAATTACTATTATTTTTTTTACGACTGATGAATTACCAACTTTGCCATACCGCAATGGAATCGTTATTAGCAGGATCGTATATTCTGGTATTTTTAATCTTGCGCCGCCTCCGAAAAGGTTGAAATGTATTTTGTATCCTATTTAATGATTAAGTAGAATTTATGAATAGCTGTGGAATACTGGTATAAATGATATAGAAATTATTTTACACTTTTTAGTGCATTTCGAAGTCAGTTTTTTTTTTGTTGAAAAATATTTTATTTCACAGTTTTTAGTGGTACGTTTAGTATTTGTAGGATGTCGTAAGGAAATAAAAGAAAACAATCTGAAATATATGTTTATTTGTTTTTATTTTAAAAATATTTCATAAAAAAAGAAGTAAAAAAAAAATTAGAATATAAAGTGAAAATGACAATTATGATAAAAAAAATTAAAATGATGATAAAATAAAACTAAAAAATTAAAAAGAATGAGAATATAAATAAGTAATGAAATGAAAATAAAAGAAAGTATAATAAATAAAGAATTAAATTTAAAATAAACTAAAATAATATTTATTTACGGCGCCGCCCCGTCCGCCACCCATTCCGCTACCCCTACCGCCACCCCTCCCACCCCGCGGTCACCTTCCGCGGTTTTGGCGGCGCCTAATGCCAGCAGCCGTTTCTCTCTCTGTAACGTAAAATTGTACATGTTAATATAGCTCACCCATTTTAGAATAATTGTTTATATTACTTGAGACGGAAATGTGTTAATAATTTTTTCGATTATATCTGTGAAACTCACTTCGCCGCGGCTTCACATCCGCCTCATTTTCTTCCGGTTGCTCTTTATGCTGCTGCAGCGGTTGTTGCTGCTGCGGCGGTGTTGGGTGCTGCAGCATTTGCTGCCGCGTCTGCATGTGCTGCAGCTGTTGCTGCAGCTGCAGCAGTGCGTTCATAATTTCGTTTTCTGAAAGAAAAAGGAGGTATGTAATATGCATGTTTTTGAATCATGCAGTATATTACTTTTTCACTGAAGTTAGAATTATACTTACGTTCATTTGTTTCAACCGTTATGTCTTTCATATTTCTGTGAGAACAAAAGAAGTTTCATGAATAAAAAGAAAATAATCCGTTCTCATTTGTGGATGAAGTTCGGAAAAGTAATCACCCCCTATTTCTTTAAAATTCAGTAATCTTATGTCTTTTATACGCTGATTACGAATATCGTAGACAATGCTATCCAACTGTGTTTACGAGCTGTGAACGGTTACATGTAAGTTTTGAATATATGATAT